GTGCGTGTGTGCGTGCGTGTGTGTGCGTGTGTGTGCGTCAACTGTCCATAGTGGAGCACAATATCTCTCAGAATGTTTTCTCTGTTTGTTTTTAACAAAAATGAAAAAAGCAGACCTGTGCTGAGGTGTGATAACTTTCACTTTTTATGTTGTAGGAGTTAAACGTGGAGCAGTACCTTCCTCATGGCCTCCAGCTCTCTCTGTTTGTGCTCATTGGCCGCCTGGAGCCGCTTCATCTTCTCCACCAGCTCCTCCTCCTCTGCCTGCTGCCTCTGCCGCAGCTCCCTGCGCCTCAGCCGCGCCTCACGGTGAGGAGACGACAGCCCCAACCTCAGCAGCTGGATGCACGTTTGAATGGCTGCCGCAAAGTGAGAGGAGAACCACTGACTGATTTAACCTCCACAAGAATCTGACATGTTGGATCCGTAACCACGACATTCAAAAATGACTCATCGTTACCTTGAATCCATTCCTGCTTCTTCTTTTTATCTGACGCGCTGATTTCAAAGCTTTTGTTGATGCACTTGATGATGAAAAGGCATTTCTTCCCATCTTTATCAGGCAGAGACTGACGGAGAAAAAGATAACAAGGCTGCATCTGTCACTTTATACCAAATGTGAAAATCCTTGTGAGACAGTCATTTAGAAACCAAAGAGGCCTTCAAATGATTCAGTCAACACAGTGTAGCTGATGTATTTTATATTACACATTGAAAATAAACAATGCTTTCTCACCTCCACATAGCAGTTTATGTCCAAAATGATGTTTCCTTTCTTCTCCAGAAGATCCTCACAGACGTAGTACGACAGCGAGTTAGGTTGAAGGACAAACCAGCGCTCAGTCCAGTTCTTCCTCTTGTGGCCCTTTTTCATCATGTATCCCTTTAAATCACAGAGTGGAGTTCAACACAAACACCACACTGACTGAATTAGTGCCTTAATAAAACTATACTTAGATAATTCACTACAAACAAGGAGAGGTCCCTTATCTCACAAGACAATGTCACTGTTCTGTGAAAACCTGTCAAATCATTTGAAAAAAGTGAAGTAAATAATGGTAGTCTAACAATAGAATGTATCAGTTGTCATTAAAAACTCAAAAGGTGTTTAGTTTGTTCAGTCTGGACTAATGTAAAAAACATGGCGGCGTCTGTAGAGAGGGTCCCCTAGATGAAAATATAAAGTATT